ATTTTATATAAATATAGTATGTAGTATAACCTTTTTACACATAAACATTTATAATTACAAAAATATAAATTATGTTTTTTTTAATTTACGTTAAATATCACAATGACAACACCAATAGTAATAAATGATAAAGAGGTTCTTACTATTAATTCCAAATATAATTTACATTAGCTAATCTTTAAATAGTAGTATGTATATAAACATTGCTATAAATGTCTCATTATAAATATTATTTTAAACTTTTATATGCATTATGACTTCGTTTTTAGTTCAATTTTGATGGTATATTTCCCAATTGTATGCAGGATTTAAGAATATATAAGAAAATAAAGGAAGATGATTATAGTGATATTTTGATGAATCCCTGTTTTAATATTTTTAAAGAATTGGGTGGTCAACAGATAAATAGATATGACTTTTTACGACACTGTAAAGAACTTATACTATATTTAAACTACATAAACACTATAAAAAGTTCCCCCAATAAAAAACCTAGTTGTGTTTATTTCAACTATATGGTAAAAAATACACTAAAATATTTTAAAATAAGTGACCAAAATAGTTACCATGCTTATGATAAAATAATTGATCATACCAAAAATACTGTTTTTAACAGTGTTTCCAACGTATGTAAGAATGATTTTAATGAAATGGATGAGAATATATATTTAACATTGACAAAGCTGAATGTACTATATGAATGGATATCAGAACCTGGCATGAATTGCTCTAAATCTGAAGATTGTAATAATGTGTACAAGGAACTATCGGATATACGTGATCGCTCAAATAACGAAAGTCTTCGTAAAGCGCTAGAGAATTTTGAAAATGCATATATGACATATTTGCCATACTTACAAGAATTACTGAAACTCCGTGCATCTTTGAAAAATGAACGTATCGTTATGTTAGCATTCATCATTATACCTGTTACATTATTAATGATAACATTCTTTCTATATAAGGTTAAATATAAAATTGATTAAATTATTATATAATTTCCTTAAAATTTACATTACAAGTAATTATGTAAAAGTTACATAAAATACATCGAACATATATATATCAAATTGTACATACATTATCAGTATACTCCACATGGTTCATTTTTACAACGATCAGTAAGAAAGTTAAGGAGAATATGGAATAAAAAAAATAATGATTATCTCAACATAAAGGATTCATTTGTGTTGACATACAACAGTTTGATTGATGATAAGTATTAATTAGCACATACCTACTTAGGATATCAATGAAAAGCATATGATTTCTATTAAAGAGTTAAACGGAGTATCATTTAAACAATAAATTAAAACAATTACTATATTACAAAAACATGTAGAGAGTGAAAAATAAATATTTAATTATAATCAAAATATCATGAAAAAATTATAATTATTTTATAATTCATAATAAATAATGAAATATAAATAACAATTATATCATTATAATTAAAAATAATTACACTGAAATTCATTTATGTAATAAAATATAAACACGGTTGATAATATTTAACAATTTAAATGAATAAAATCATATATAAATATTAAAATTTATTATATTATTTATGCAGGAATACATTTTTTGTAATAAAATAACTATTCTCCATATTTGGTTAAAAAAATAAGTGTAATCATATGTTTTATAAAAAGATCAGATAATTAGAGTACATAAGATGTCCTCTCCTAATATTATAAATATTATCAGTATATATGCAAAAAAGAATTGCCAATATATGGCCATATAACATAATTATATTTGAACTCCCGATCTCCGTATTCAATATAATATATAAATTACGTCAATCAGATATTCATCTAATTAAACTGTGATAGATTATATGTAGAAACCTTAATATATTACTTGTGTAACTATGGTAAAACTTTTCCTATATTAATTTAGGTAATACGAATGTTACACGTTTAATATATTAATAATACTCAATGATAAATTTTGCATAAGTAAATGAATTAAAAAAAATAACTATAAGATTGTCATTCCCATACAAATGTGTGTCTTAAATATTGGTCATAGCATAATAATATTATTATATTATTTGATAGAAAATATTATTATACATATTTTTTTAATTGTTAAATAATTAAAATGCTTAAAAAATGTTATTGAAATTATACTATTTACAAGACAATATATATTTCTTCAATATAAATCAGTACTATCATCCTAAATATAAATATAGCTGTAATTATTCTGCTAATACTAATAGAATACTTGTATCTTATGTGTAATTCATATGAGTAATTATGAATTTATATGGATATCTATAGTATATTTTTATTTATACATTGAATTTAATATAAATTTTTTACACAATGAAATAGCACTTTAAAATTTGATTCATATAATATATTAGATATTTTCCTGTATTGGGGAAAATAAATATATTGTGCCCATATATTACATTTAGACATAAATAATAGATTCTTTTACATTAACATATATATATATATACATATTCAATGGATATGCAATAGTTTTTCTTTATCTACAATCTACTATATTAATCATTTCATTTAAATAATGAATTTCATTTATAAAATTGTAGTTTACGTTACTACTATATAAACGTCCTATATTAGGCATTCTACATTAACTTTTCTTTTATATTGGTTGTTCTTATCTATTATTATTAACTTATAAATTATACGAGAATAATGTACTTGTGTTGATTTTTTTTAATACTATTTAATCATATCATATGAAACTCTAATTTTTTAAATATTATAGTGCCATTTATATATATAAGAGAATTTCCTTATATAAGTAACCTTAATTATGTCAGTTTTGCCTATTAGTGCATTAAGTTTAAATTATCAAATGTTGAATTATATCAAGAGCACTTATGAATTCATAGTTTTTCTTAATAAATATATATTTATATACATAATATTCCTATAATATTATGAAAAAATATTTATTTTAGTTGTGTGTTATATTTTTTTTATTTCTATCTATGTTATAGTAGTGTATATGTATGTAGGTATTAATTTTTTGGGCAACAATTTTTACTGAATTACCTTTCTATGCATGATTTTTTTGAATGTTCTCAAGTTAACTCAATTCTATTTATTATTAATAATATAATCAATCATATAATTATTGATATATTTTTTAAAAACTCATTGCATGATATTATTGTTTTTTAATAGGAAATTAGTGTACAATTTCATTTTTTTTTATGCTTTACATATTTATTATATATCTTTCATTAATATTATAATATAATTTTTTATCATGTTACAAGATTATTCATTAATTTAGGCTATATCATAATGAGTTCTATAATTTGTGACTTAATTTTATTTCAATAAATCATACTGCTACAGAATTATAACATTTTTAGGTTCATTAGTAAAATAATAATTTAAATGTTTTTTGCGCTTTTTCATCACATATAAATATCCCAGTAATATTTTTATTTTGTCTTATTTAAGTTATCAATTATAATTTAATGTATAATTATTTTATTCTAATTTAATTATGTTATCTTTATTTTTTAACAAATTGAAGTTTTCTTTGTTTTTTTATATATGTAGTTTTTTGTATTATCTTTCTTTTTTACCTGAGAATATAACCATATTCAAATCGGGGTATATTCATATAATTAAGTAAAAATATATATAATTTTAGCAGGAAATACTTATATGAATTTCATAAGGAAATAGTAAACTGTGAACATTATTTCATATTATATTTTTGCGAACCTTATGCGTTGTAAATAAAATTATATATAATCTTAAAATAATAAGAAGACATATATTTATAATGAATTGTAATTTGCGAAAATCTTTATTGATAAACTATAAGTGAATTATTAAGTCTAATGTAATTGTATTAAATAAATTTACATATGCATATGCACCTTCATCCGTATTATGTGCTATGTGGTCGTTAAATTTTTATATAGGCGATAAGATTTATTTTGTTATTTTTCATGAAATTTTAAGTAATTTCCATAAAATGTTATATGGATAACTGCATATATATTCATGATCTCTGTAATATATTTTTTATATTCTCTCTTTAAAAAATTAAATTTTGGAAAAATTAATATATTTTACATTTTAAGCTCATTAGAAGACTGCAATTATATATGTTATTAGATATTTAATAAAATTGTCACTTGGAGAATATTTATTTATAGTATTTTCACTTTTGCATTCTACATTATTCCATTCAAATTACATATACGGAACATTATGCATATTACAAGTATTAATAATATAATCAAGAATCAAATAATTCAGTTACTTGTAGTGATTAGTATAGCCAATATTTAATGTTTCATTATTCGTAATAAAGTTTGTTCATCTAAAAATATGTCACTCATCTGTGTTATTTTATCAGTAGGTATATTTGCATTTTCTTCGAAAATTTTATGATATATATTAACATTATTTCCAAAAGTTAAATTTTTGTGAACAATAAAAGTATGTAATTCGATTAAATCATTATAATATAAATAATAATATATAATATATGCAAAAAATATGTATAAATAAGAAAATATATTGTTTTCGATTTACTGTACATCAAATAAATGTTAAAAAAATATTTATTATAAAAAACATTTCAATATATATCCTAACCTATGTAATAGTTCTGAAACCTGTAAATTATATATATATATATATATTACTTAATTAATAATAGGTGCTTACCATTTCTACATATTTTTTGACCTGTTTATTTAAAGCATAAGTATGATATTTTTCTTTTAAACATGTTATATATTTTATATGGGTGTTAGTAAATGTTGGTGTATTTCTTTAGTTATATTTTTGTTTGGAATAATTGCATAAATGTATAGTTAAATAAAAATATATTACATTTATTATTATTAAATTAGAGATGTTCTTTGTCTTATATTACATAATGTAATAAATACCATAAGAAAATTCTTACCAATTGTATTTTCTATATGTCATTTGTGTTTCTGATATCTATATTAGAATACTTTAAAATATTATAACTAAAATAATATCTGTACTGATAGAGTCCATTTCTTGGAATTATAGATTTTAGATTATTATAATATTAATTACATTAACATAATAACATTTGTTCAAAATTATTTGAATCTGACAGCAGATCCTATAACTATTTTAATTTTTTGATTAATGCAAAAATAAATATCCCCTCATGAAATAAACCAATGTAATATTTTAATGACACATGATAATCTTAAATTAATATCAATTCTAAATATATCAAAAACAATTCTTTAAGTATATATTAGGTAAAATACAAAATAATACATATTTATTTTTTAATTACAGCGTTTGAAAGTTTTTTAAGATTTTTCCTTTTGTATGTGTTTACAAGAATAGAATTTAATCAAATCATAAATGATTTCATATTTATTATAATATGTCTTTTTAAAAAAATTATATTATTATAAAAATTTTTTGCCTTATATTTTTTTATATTTTTCTCATATTGCTGGTTAAGTTAATTTACATCTATGATGCATAAGAATTGTAAAAAAAAAAAAAAAAAAAAGCATTAAACTTCATTCAGTAATAGAAAATTCTAGAAATAATATATAATATATCGAATTTTGTAAATTTGTACCAATTAGAATTAATAGATGTTTGAATCATAGTTTATTTAAGGTCTTTTGCTGTATAAATTAACACATGACATATAACATTATAAAGTAAACGATTTTAAATTATTTATTTAGATTCTGTTGTGTAAATAAATAAATGAAAATATATAGAAACAAATATATATTAAAATTTCCTTTCTCATTGTATTCTGAATATAATTTATTCTGTTACAGTACTATACTATGATGTAATTATAAGTTTTTTTGTGTTTTCTTAATACGCTATTACTAATACTGTTTCTGTATATTATATGATATATATAGGTTGTCTAAGCATATTATATTTTCTATCATTTTATTATGTTATACTTTATGTTAATTATAACGAATAAAAAATGAGAAAATTAGTTGTATAATATCTTCATACTATATCCTGAAATAATTATATGATATTTAATTCATATAATTTTTTAATGATATTTTAAAACGACGAGTAAATTCATATTAAAAATAAAAGATAAAATAAAATAAAAAAAATATATTATATTGTTTATAGTTACGTAAACTAGCAAAATCATAATACCTTGGTGTATTAAATAAATATTTTTATTACAATTAATGCACTGAAACATAATTAATATTATAATTAATGTAAAAAGTAATTATAAAATATAATTAATAACACATTAAATGAAAATTATAATCCATATGAAATCATTTATTTTATTTAATAATTTATATATAGAAAACATTATTAATTCAAAATGCATCATAAAATATATAAAATTAATCTTATAAAATTTAATACAATGTCTTATGCAAAATATTTTTTTTATAAATATTCTTATATATTTCTGCTTTACTATTAGAACTACCAATGAAGCACTACGTGCATCTAAAATTCAAAAAAATATGATAATGTAATTTATATTTGCATAGAGATAATAACATTCACATATTTTTTATATTTCATATATGATTAATTAAATAAAATGATATGATAATATTATATTGTAAAAAAATATACATATATATCTACAGCAGAGTGAAGAACATAATTTTGCATCATACATAGGTTAAAAAAGAGCAAATAAAGCATGTAAAATGCAATTTCATTCCCCATAATAAACAAATTATATATAAAAAATAATTTTATTTAAAGAAAAGTATATATTTATTGATTATGCTGCTTTGTTCTATTAATATATATATACATATATAATGAATGAAGCATCTTCATAGATATATATATCTATAAAACATAATTTTTAACTGAATATTACATTATCTCTATTGTTGTATTTTTAGGTTTTGACATAAAATTAATATATTCACGTTGTTAATTATGTGTAGAAGCATACATTAGAACATTAAATCAATTCATTTACTTAGTTATTAAATTACATTTTAATATTTTTATTGAATAAAATTATATAAATATACGATACATATCATCTAAATTTATATTATGAATGAGAGTATATATAATCCTGTGGGCAAAGAAATATTACTCGTAAAAAAAAGTTTAATATATAAAACCTGAAATATAAAGCATTAATCTGATATACGGAAGCCCCAAAACAAAAACATAATTCTGATACCCTAAATCCTAAATATGAAAATCCGAAAGGCTGAACTGCACGTTATCATATTAGGATAGCTTTTATGCTGCAGTATACATTTTACATTATACATTAGCATGGGAAGAATATTTTCTATTTTTTTTATAATAGCACACTTACATATATTTATATATTTATTTTAATAAATTGAAAACGTGTATATTATATCATATTCGTTCAGTATTATATTTTTCAATTTTTTTAAACTGATAATTATGTAACTTTTAACATTTTTAAATTATTATTATAAAATTTTTTCACATTATGCTTTTTCATCATATGCATCATTATTATGAAAAATAGATATTTGTTCGTTCATAAAATTTATATCTACAATTAATCTAAAAAAAAATATAATATTTTATACAATGTTGAAAATTGAAGTACACTTTAGTTATTATAATTTAGAAAGATATATACATGTATGCTATATTTTTAATAAATTGTATACATATTTTTTAAAAATAATGAGCCCTCTTTTATACTATAATTTTTTTTTAGTATGGAAATATACTTTCTATTCCTAAATGTGAAACACTTTTGGATGAAACTAATAATGAAGACACATGTGATATTGATTATGATGACAAGCCTATAAAGGATCAACCAAAAATTGAAGAATTCTATAAGAAAAATTACTGTAATATTTTCTCATATTTAATGAAAATTCATTATCGCACAGATGAATATAATATATCAAAAGAAGCTGCATTAGTATACTTATATTATTGGATATATATTAAACACACAAATAAAGCTAGAACATACAAAATCTATGATGTTTTTAAAGCATTTCTCAGTGGATATGAGGATCTATATAGAACACAGGCATACAAGGATTATATAAATAATGTAATTAGTGATGAGGAATTGAAAAATCTGGAAGCCGTCTTTGATGTGTACATGTGCCTTAATAAAATAAAGGGACATAAAGAAAATGGATATTGTGACACACTGATAAATATTATAAATCAATATAATACAGAAATAGAATCTAATAGTGGTAAAATGGATTCAAATAAAATACAAGCATATAACAGAAGTTATAATGTAGCTTCTATTATTATAACTGTTGTCATAATGATGGTAGTTTTTTTTTTATTACTTATTTTTTATCAGGTTAAGTACTATATTAATTGTATGTATCTAAAATATAAAATAATTAGACTAAATTATTTCCAAAAATATTTTGTAAAAAATCTTATATTTATTATATAAATTTAATTTATTATTGTTTAGTTTAGCTCATATGGTTATTGCATTCGCCGTAGAATAAATAATATAAGAAAAAAATGGATTCATGCAGATAAAGAATGGAATATATTACAATCTCCTGAATCATTTGACAGTATCCCATGGAATAATAATTACAATGTAATATAAATTAAAAAAAAAATTACAATTGAATATATAATTAGAGTTGAGTACCTTGTTCATAACATATGTAGATTGATCTAATCAATGTATATAGATATTTCTTTTCTTTAAATAACATCTGAAAATGTAAAATAATTCTGAAAACTTAACAAAAGAAAAATAGATATTATTTGTCATTTTAATAAGACAATGTTTCAGAATATTATTTGGTCTAGAGTTCAGGGTTTTAGGGTTTATCCTCTAATGATTCAGTTTTATCGTATAGATAATTTAATTTATTCATAATATCAATGATTCCTTTATGAAGATCAAAAATATGATCATTCCATGTGTAGCATTCATTATATATATCATTTAATTTTACACTTTTTATTAATTCTTAACATTTTTTTTTATTTAAACAAGAAAGATTCAAAGATGTTAGTCTATTATCCAGTTTATAGCTGAAATATTTACGTGGTGCTTTTTTTTTTATTAGTTCTTTTGATTTTTATGTATTTTAAATATAGTGTAAGATATTAGGAGACAAAAATAAATGTATAATAAGATTTTCCTACATTTTTATATACCTCATAGAACAGGGTTAAGTATGATTACCCTTTTGGATTTATATGAACATTTATGGTCTCATTATAATGATTCACACATGTAGGAAAAATACGTTTGAAATAAAACTGAAGAGAGAGACTGAAATGTTAAAATAAATTTAATTTTATGTTATAATATATATAGCATGTACTTTACGTCCATATAATATGGTATTCTCAGCCTAGAAGACATTATTTATAATCATAATGAAAAATGTAAACTTACATATTTGTTAACAGATATTACATTCATGGTCTTTATCATATACTAATTAGCTCGGGAAAATTTTTTATTTGTTATTACTTATAAAAAATTATATTCTAAAAGTGTTCAAATAAATATTACATTTATGACATGTATATAAATTTTTGTACCTCTAATATTTCTACAATTCCATAAAATCATGTTTTATATTAGTATTCCTAAGTATTAATATAGGGGACTAATATGGATTTGTGCTTTTTTTTTTTTACTTATATATATAATATGAGAATTTTATATAAATAGGTATACAGAAACATTAAACTATAATCACTACATATATGTTATTTGCTTAAATATAAAACTTACCCAATTCGTTTGTTATCCGCTATAAGAACTTAAGGGAGTTATACACTTATTGATCTTATTTGTAATTTATTTTGCATATATTCTTATTTCCTTTTAAAAATAGAAATATATATATATAAAATATAAAGCATCATTATTTACATAATTATAGATTTTTTCGTATTCTTTATTTATTATATATTATTTAAATTTTTTATATATCATACTCAAAATATAAGACATATTTCGTGAAATGATGTATATAATTATAAATTATAAAAAAAAATAATATATAATTCATACCGATTAAGCGAATAACGAAAATTATATTTTTATAGAATAAATTATATTTTATTCTAATTATTTTTAATTATAATGAAAATTATACCTTAATAAAGACTGTTAATATTTACATACTGTTTATATAGTTCTACCTATTATATCTTCAACAGAATATGTTAGTTTATTTTGCTTTTTTAATAACATAACATTCATATACATTATATATATTAGTGATTGTTACTAAAATATAACAAAAATTGATACATAGCACAAGACTTGTTATGTAGTAGAATAATTTTAAAAATTCATTTCAGCTCTTTGTAACATAGAAATAGTTTTTTATTTTGAAGATTTATAATATGTATTATCAATTTTATATTACAGAGAATGTATACAATAGGTAGTGCTAACATTATTTCTTTAAAATAATACTTAATTTATATTAATCCATTTCTTATTTATTTTGAACATTAATATGCTTATATATATAATATATTTTTCAATATTGCATAAAATATTGTTTTACAAATAATCTTTATAATACCATGGAGCCATTTGTTTATGTATAAATTTTTAATTTAAAACATTAATAATAAGCAAAAATTGAGATATTCTATTTTTTTATATGATAGTGCTAGTTCATAATTTATGTTATTGCATATATTTTATAAGTAAAATTGTGACACTCTGATGTAATTATTTTCCTAGCATATAATTTTTATATAAAAAAATATAAAGAGACCAAAATTAAGTATTTATATAAATAAATTATTTTTTTTAATATCAAAATATATTTAGAGTAATGAATTTTAATATTAAATAAATTTACATGTAGCTACGTGTCAATTATAATTAATACATAATTTTTTTTTGCTTTTCTTAAGATTGAATGAAGGAAACATAAAATTTACTAAATATTTTTTAAATTAAGTGTAATAATTAAAAAAAAAAAAAAACTTGAAATAATAATATAAAATGAAAGAAATATTAAAATAAGCAAAAATTTATATATATCTTATAATTTATAACCACGGATATGCTAACAAAAGATGTATGTCATTATATTGCACAAATACGTTGAATATACATGAAAGACGTATTAAATTTTAATTCCATAAAAGAAATTATCTACAAATAAAATTAAAACACATATATGAAGCTATTTTGTGATTACGTATATAAAATTAATGGAAATTTATTTTTTGTTTATATTATATATCATAATAGTATGGTATATCAGGAAAAATTAATATTAATTTTCTTAATTATCATATTTTTTTTAATATATAATATATATAACTGTATTATCCTTACGTATATGTTATATCATTTTATTAATTAAAAGCTACATATACGTGTAATCTACATTAAGATAAAACGATAAATCTCCATATTAATTATAGTTCTCATATCCATTACATGTACCTATAAGTAATACTATTTTTTTTACTATTATATTATTTATTTGGAGGATTAATGTGTTGAATAAACAAATTAATAATTTTTTGAAATTTTTTTTTATAGCAATAACTATTTCATAATTATATAATATTATATAGAGAATGATTCTGCATGTAATTACAATATAAATCTAAGTATCTTTTTAAATTAAATTTTTTAATTAATTGTACACTTAATATTAACAGTTATCATAATTGTATAATATACCATAATTGCTGTCGCTTGAAATTTTGTTAGATATTTCTCAATAATTAAGTGGATTTATCCCTTTTTTTGTACCACTCTAGATATTTCTTTTCTTTATTATTTGACGGGGGAAAAATGAGACAATTATTGTTGATATATTCAAAATTTAAATTAATATATGAATTAATAATACAGTGTTGTCATTATGAATTCTGTCTTTTTCAAATTATTTAGGAAA